AATTTTTAATAAGTAAAAATTAGAGGCGCTGCTGTTGCACTTTCTATGGCTCTACCTCCCCCTTTTCTTTTTTAGAGGACCCACCAAGTCAATAATGGGGGGCGGAACCACGCGGAACCACGCGGAACTACGTAGGACCTGAAGGGGCCACGGCCCTCCCTGATCTTTCCAAAAAGTTTTAAAATTAGTACACAAGTTTTTCATTTTTGAGATTTAATCTTTAGTGTTTATTTTGTTTACCTCATTGTTTTAACTTTATAAAAAGTAATTATGATTAGTTTTTTTCATAATTTTTGGGTGAGATTGTTTTCACACCCTAAATAGTTAAAGCCATATTTTTTTAATATAATTGTCTATTATACTTTTATGTTATATTTTTTTTAAAAAAATTTACATTTTTTATTTCTTAATAAATTAAAAAATATAATAGTCAATTAAGATAAAATGTATAGTATTAGTAATGAAAGGTGTAACAATAACATCACCTATAATTTTTGTTCCTAAATTTTGTAAATGAATGTTAAAATAGCAATTAGCGGGTCTCTAAATTGATTTTTTTTAGGAAACTCTAAATTGATTTATTAAATATAAATTTTTTTGATCTCTAATATTTTTTAATAAAAAGTTAAAAAAATTTAAACTTTTAACATTTTTCCTTCTTATCCTCCCTCCAGTGGTCTGTTTCCTTGCAAAAACTTAAGATTGACATCACTTTTGTACGTAGAGCATAAAATTAACTTGAAATAGTTAATTAAGTCATAATAATTTATTTTTTCGCAAGGTCAAAGATTTAAATTTTATCCTAACTTCAAAATTTTCTATTAAATCAAATTCGTTTATTTTGTTTTGTTATTTATTATACTAATTTTTTATGTTTTTGAGGTCATTATATACTATATTTTTTAGTTGGTTTTCATTTTACAAATACAAATAAGCAAACACTAATCACTGAAAATTCCAAAATGATAGTATATCTTAAGTTGGGTATAGCCAAGTTTACAATTATTCTTATCATTTTAATTTTAAAATAAAAAATAAATATTTTAAATATAAATTTGATGGAGTATTCACAAAATTTAATTACCATCTTAAATCCTAGCTCTGCCTCTGTCCTAAATCAAAATATGGGCTTATAAAGTCGTTAGTAGTTCGTCCATATTATTGATTTTTTTTTTCCTCTCTTCGATTGTCCATCACTTTGAATTTTCACAAGTTTGTGATACTATATATGAATTAGGACAATGATATATGCATCGTACAATGCATTTTCAATGTTAAAGTATTGACTACTCCATTTTATGAAATTAATCCATACCCCAGACCTCTGCTTTCTTAAGAAAAGTTGCAGTCAAGTAGATGGAAAAATCTAGATTATTCGTATAACCTTTACATTTGGTATTTTGAGGTAAAGTTGTTTGTACAATATATTTTTAAAAAGTTTTTGAATTGGGAAAATTGGAAGCTTTTATTAGAAGTTAACTAATTAATCAACTGATCATCAAATCATTAGTCCATAGCTACAGCACACTTCTCTACCTACCATCTAATTAACTGCAAAGGAGCTTAATTCAATGCAATGCACTTTGTGCCTTGTTCCTAATTTCCTAAACCGACCGGAAATTACAGGCTTCTACCCCCAATAATAGTATAATGGGAACAATCGGTTGTTGACCTGACCTTAGCCCCAAAGACTTAGAAAAATCCATATGACTTGACTCAAGACTAAGAAAAGTTGCTTCCAAACACGGTTCTATGTAGAAGAAGAAAGCCAAATGATTCGTATGAGCATCAATTTTACGTTTGGTATTTTGGTTAGGTAAGGTAAAAATATTGGAAGAAAAAAAATTTACACAACATAAAATTCTTACAAGGTCAAATAATTTGAAACAAAATTTTTCAGCTAAAACGTCCAATATATATTGTATTTATAATTTGGATGATTATAAAACACTCATATTGTTAATTAGTTCATTTTAGTGTGCAGTCTGAGAATGAAAGATTGAATAAATTAAATGGACACAAAAAAATAGTAATAATAAAAATGCTGAAATGGTTACAGGAGAACTGGCTTTACTTTCCTGCAACCGGCTTAGATGTTGAGAAGTGTACAAGAGTTAGCCTTTAATTATTGGAGCTGGTTCTATTGTTCTAAAATTTAAACCTGGAGCTTTGGCACGCATGGGTGAAATGGGTGCCAAGCCGACTTAGATTTTGGGCTACTAGCTTTTATGGAGTATTTAATGTTCTAACAATCAAAATGATTAAAGATTTTTCTAATTTTTAAAACTCCAATTTATTAAGTCGGCTTGGGTTTTTTGTAGCCAGCTCAAAAAAAGAAAAAGAAGGTACAAAGGCAGTAGCAGAGATGGCTCTAAAATATAAAGCCAGCTTAACAGTAAAATCTATAATGTTTTCTTAAATCTAAATTGATTTCCAATACATTAAATAAACTCCAACGAACTAGAAACAATTATTGCAGTTTAAAAAAAAAAAAAAAAGAATTCTTCTGAATCTGAAATCCAAAAACACAAATCACCTCTTGTTGGAAAAGTCAACAAAGACAAGAACAATTAGTTTAGTTGGTTTCTTTTACTAATCTTTGAAGTACTACCAGACGAAACGGATTCTTTTGCTACTAATGAAAGCTTGTTAATTTGTTCACGTAATACCTATTTTCATTTCCAACATTTATTCAAAAACTGAAATCGAGTTTTTCTTAGCAGTTCAGGACACTGCTAAGAGAAAATGGATATAAAATTGCTACAATAGCTATGGATTATATAGGATCAAGCAAACAAGGATTTTTCATATTGAAGCATAGAATACGGCAAAAGGAACACTATTTTTTTGTGCTACCTGCTCCTAAACCAAGATTTCGGCTTCTAAAGTCCTTAGTTTGTCCATATATATTATTTATTTTTTTCCACTTCCATTGTCCCCACACTTGAAATTTTCACAAAGTTTGTGATATTAACGTTGGGCAATATTGATATATGCTTTGTGCTATGCATTTTCAAGGTTTAAAATAGGTTAAATTTAATTTTTCATCTACTAACTATTACTTTTTTTTTTCATTTTAGTCTAAAAAGTTTAGTTTCTTTCAAAATCATCTATAAACTTTGAAAATCATTTTAAATTCATCTACCTAAAAAACTGCAATTAGCTTTTTTTAATGGAATCCCATGGCATGCTTACGTGGCACCAATTATGTGGCACATTTAGTTCTGAAAAATTACACTTTAACTCCAAAAACTTCACAAAATTTTCAATTAAATTTTATATTCAAATCATTCTACTTTCTTAGTGAGATTTTTTTTTATTTTTAATTTTTTAATAAATTTAAATGTTTTAATTTTGATTAACAACAAAAGAATTCATCATTGTCATTATTAGGATAAAATTATATCATTTTTTATTTAGTTCAAAAAATTAATTTTATTTGTATTATCTCTTTCTTAAAATAACTTTTATTTTTGTTTTTTTTTTCAAATTAAGAATTTGAGGATAATTTATGTTTATTTATATTACCCTTAAAAAGAAATCAAAGATGAGGAGAAACATTTTGTGATAGAATGATTAATTAAAGTAAATAGATAATAATAAGGTTAAAGTAAAAAATATATTTGTTTACCTTTAAAAATAAAAAATAATAATAATTAATTTGAGACAAATTTGAAATTATAAAGCGATAATTATTTTGGGACAAATGGAGTAAAGTTAAAATGTACTCCAAACACCTTAGAATAATAAGCATTTTTTATTTAAAATTTATTTTAAAATAATAGTATTTTTTAATAATTTAAAGGAAATAATTTTTTATTTATACTTTAATTTTATGATTATATCTTAATTTTAATAATTTTTTTTATTATAAAAGAGTAATGATAGGGGGACAAAAATTTAATACTAAAGATATGATACAAATTATATCATTAAATATAACCAAAGTATGGGAACAAACTAGAAAAATACTTTGGTTATATTTTTCTAGTCTTAAATTTTCATCCCCCTATCATTACTCTTTTATAATAAGAAAAATTTCATATAATTGATGGCCATAACTAGGAGGCAATTTCATATAAACTTCTTCATCATGGTCACCATGTAGAAAGACATTATGTACATCTAATTGATGTAGTTCCTAGTTGTGGATAGAAGCCACAGTAAGCGAACAGCGAACAGTAACTAATTTGGCGACTAGAGCAAATGTCTCATGATAGTCAATCCTTTCAACTTGGGTGAATTCTTTTGCGACTAGGCGAGCCTTGTATCTCTCAATTGTACCATCAGCATTGTATTTTATTTTGTATACCCAATTGCAGCCTATAGGTTTCTTATCAGGAGGTAGCATTTCCAGAGTCCAAGTGTTATTTTTCTCAAGAGCAACGATTTCATCTTGCATTGCTTGTCTCCATTTGGGACCTTGCATGGCCTGAGAAAAAGATTGTGGCTCATCTTTAACAAAGATGGTAGCTAGAAAAGAGCGGTGAGACGAACTAAATTTATCATAGGAAACAAAATGAGTGATTGGGTGCCATGTACCTGAGATTTTTGTTAATTCACTTACTGATGTTTGAACCCCATTCAAGATGTAATCAATGAGGTAGGTAGGCTTCTTTTTCTCCCGTTGAGGCCAATGTGTTTCGCATTGGGAATTATTTTCACCAGGCCTTCGAATGGCTTCAACGTCATGCTCTAGCCCATTAATGTCGCATGGGCTCTCGCATGATGTGGCCAAATTTTGGTGTTGGTAGTAGTGCAATATTTTTATGAGTTGGGTTGTTGTGAGTACACATTCTCCCCAAAAAGAGATAGGTAAATTGGCTTGAAAACGCAATGCTCTTGCCACATTCAAAAGGTGTCTGTGTTTTCATTCCACCACTCCATTTTGTTGTGGTGTATAGGCACAAGTAGTTTGATGTATTATGCCTTGAGCATGGAAAAATTCTTGCATAGGTTTAGACAGAAATTCTTGTCCATTGTCGGACCTTATTTGCTTAACCTACAATCCAAATTATGTTTTGACCATATTGATAAACATGATTAAATAATGATAGACTTCATATTTGAATTTCATAAGATATACCCATGTAGCACGACTAAAATCATCAACAATAGTGAGAAATAATAAACTCCAGAATGAGACGGAGTTTGATATTTGCCCCAAATGTCACAATGAATTAAAAGAAAAGGTGATTCAACTCTTTTATTGCTAAGAGGAAAAACATTCCTAGTTTGCTTTGCTCAATGACAAGCATCACAACATTCAAGAAAAGACTTAAAATCAAATGAGACTTTATTGGATAGCAAAGAATATCTATCAAAGGAGGGAGGCCCCAATCTTTGGTGCCAAAGATCCATTGAAGGTGTGGTAGTTACATTTGAAATAGAAACTACTTTCAAAGGCTTGAAATAATAAAGACCATTACGCATTTCACCCATCCCAATTAGCTTCCTTGTTGTGAGGTCTTGTAATATGCAAAAAGTTGGTAAGAATATCACAGCACAATTTAAGTTTTTAGTTATCTTGCTGACAGAAATAAGGTCACAAGTAAATTCAAGAATGTAAAGGACATTATCAATAGTAAGATTAGGTGCAAGTGAGATTGATCCCATGCTTTGAATTGGGACAAATTTTCCATTTGGAATTTTAGCATGTTGATTGGAATTTAAATGATGCATGTGCTTAAATTTATATTTGCAACGATTAATATGATCAGATGCACCACTATCCAATATCCAATCACACAAGTTCATGAACTTCTTACTAGAAAAGTCATCTAAGGAGGACTTCTTTTCAGTACCAAGCAATGAGATCAATTGGTTGACTTGATCTTGAGTGAGTCTAGAAATCATAGCAATAGCATTTGTGGATACTTGTGAAACCTGGTTCATGGCTTTGGAGTTCCCTTGTCTTGGAAAATTACGCTTTCTATCTTTTGGTTACTGTCAGTTTTGATCCTTATATTATTGTCCTATTGTCCATCTCTTGGTGGGTATCCTATCAACCTGTAACATGTTTCTTTGGTATGGCCTGACTTCCCACAATGATCACACAATTTAGGATTTGTGCAAGGCTTTGATGATGAACTCATGGCATCAAGTTGATTTGCATGGTGATTGGGATGTGATCTATGGGATCTCACATTGAAAGCAGCAACTTCTACATTTGTTGGTCGTGAGGCACAAAGAAAAATTTCCCTTTCTTCACGTGTAACTAAAGTATATGCTTTGCTAATGTTTGGGAGGGGTTCTATATGCAAAATATGAGATTGAACACTACTAAAATTATCATTAAGTCCAAGAAAAAATTGATGTACCTTTTCCTCCTCCCTTGTTTTCAAGAAATCCTTAGTTGCTCCACAAGTGTAGTCCAAGATTATAGAGTATGAGTAAAGTTCATCCCATATGGCTTTGAGTTTGGTATAGTAAGCGGCTACTGAGAGATTCTCTTGATATGTGATAGCCAAGGCCCTCTTTAATTCATGTATTCTAGGTGCATTCCCTTGAGAAAATCTTTCCTTCAGATCTATCCATATTTCTTGAGCAGTGTCCGCATAAGCCACGCTCCCATGTTATTCAGTTGAAAGAGAGTTATATAGCCATGAGATCACCAACGAGTTGCACTTTTCCCAGTGACTGAGATCTGCAGATCTATTGGATGGACGAGACAAGGTTCCGTCAACAAAGCAAAATTTATTCCTTGCTCAAAGAGCATTGGTCATAGCTCTCACCCAAGTGGAGTAATTTGTCTCATTTAATGGGCTGGAAATCAAGTTCAAACCTGGATGATCAGAGGAATGAAGGAAATAGGGCGAAGAGAAATCAAGGACAATTGGGCCTTGGGTTTGGCTTTCTTTGCTTGAAGCTTTGCCTATAGCAACGGTATTTTCCTCGGCCATTGTACTGGCAAGGTCAGTGCTTCTAGAAAAAAAAGAAGAATTTAGGGATCAATGCTCTGATACCATATAGAAAAGTATTGCCTTTTCATTAAGTTAAAATTGTTGAATTTGTACAATATATACAAACTCTGTAATGGCATAAAATGCAACATCTAAAATCTAACATTCAATTACTTTCTGTAATTAGTTCTTAGAATCAAGCCTTGATATGTTACGATGATGTACATACAGCTAGTACAACTAATAGAATCAACACCAATCAAATGTACTGTCGACTCTACAATGTATTGCATCTGAACTGATTTGAAGCTTGGAACTTGTCTTGACCCCAATTATAATTGCCGACAGCAATAATTAACTCACTGGGCTAGGATCGGTGTTAATCTGAACAAATAATTGTTTACTGACTTGACTTCTGAATGAGAATGACCCTTTCCTTCTTTTTTTTTTTTTTTCCTTGAAAATTGTTTGCATACGGTATTTTCCTCAAAGTCAGAAGAGAATCGTTCTGTTGTTTCTTCTCTTGTTTGAAAATGGTTTAAGTACCATTTTGGTCCCTCAACTTGTCACTTTGGTACCAAAATTGTCCCTCACCTTTAAAAAGTACCAAAATTATCCTTAAACTTTCATTTTCGGTACCAAAACCGTCCTTC